TATCTCGTGTCCACCAGATGGAAAGGTCCAACACACTGGGCCTGAGCAGCCTGAGCGGGAACGGGACGTTGGTGAATTTCCAGACGGGTCAAACCGTGGACGATATGCTGTCGGCCCTGGAGGAGGGTCAAGGTCAGGGTCAAGGTCAGGGTCAAGGTCAGGGTCAGGGTCATAATGCCACGCTCGGGGAGCAGGTCGTGGAGGGGTAGGAGGAGGAGGGCGTCTATCTTTAGCTACGTCATAGTTATGACGTCAGATCTCAATGTATACGTTACAGAATGATGCGAAAAAGATAATTCCACCCAGCGTAATTAATTTGGTGCTTGTCATATTACAAAAAATATGGCATAAGTCATTACATTTATTAATAATATACAATGACGATTGCCTTTTTCATCTTGACAAAACGAGATTAGAGAAGTATACATGATACAGCTTGTTTGGCTGGGAGAGCTCATTTCTTCTAATGCTGAAGTGTGATATTTTATACAACCATTTCTGTTGGCCTTGACAGTATGATGTTAATATATTATACCCTAGACGATGTCTAATGAGCCTCATTTCTCTGTCTGTTGTGGGGATGTGTCAACAGAGTTTTCTCATAAGTGCTCTTTTAGTCACTCAATATCATGCTGGTCTGTCTACAAAGTGCTTGGCCCTGGATCAGTTTCCACACTGAGTGTTTTTGAACTCGGGTTATTTTGTGGGGTTTTTAAGGCTCTCAACCCAATCGGTTCTGTCATATCGGAGATGGAAGCTAAGTTCTAAGGTCTTGTGTCTTATATAACGTATAGTGTTGATAACAGGCGTAAAACCAATTAAACGCTTTCTTGATTACTGTTTTTACTTGGTTTGTTTATTGAGTGCAGATGGGTTGTGTCCTTGTGAAAACTCCAAGGTTGTATTTGCAATTTTGTTATTTCTTTGGTTTTCGTAAGAGTTTTACGGCATTGAACAAGTAACACGACAGTTACAAACACAGAAAAGAAAGAGGAAAGATAAGAGAGATAGACGTTTGATGAGGAAAGAAAGAGCAGACTACACCATAGCACCCGCCAACTATCTATATGTTGTTTTGTTAAAACAAACAACAACCGGGTTGGAATTGAAATAAAACCGTTACTGAACTTGATTGCATCATTTTTCTTCATCTTTGTGGGTTTTTTTGTATATGTTTCATATATCTATATGGCTGAACAATAATATGATGTTTGTTTGGATGTGGGTGTGGGTGTGTGTAAGAGGGCAGGGGGGGCGTGGGGGGGGGATTAAAGAAAACGGTTTTAACTCATTAATTTGTTTTAAAGGTGTGAGTAATGAACTTCTAACTTCTTGGATTGTGTTTGTATCGTTCAACTTGGACGTGTTCTCCTCACGCTGTGAGAGAGCCGGACCACCAGCTGTAGAGCAGATATCCAAGGGTGTTGCGAAAATCAAACCCCGGGGTTGGAATTGAAATAAAACCGTCGTTTCTGAACTTGATTGCAAAATCATTTTTCTTCATCTTTGTTTTTTGTTTTTTATGTCCACGTGTTTCGTTTTCAAAAAGAATCAGCTTAACACGGCTTTATGTTTCATTGTTTTTCTCTTTTTTTATTTTGCTTGCTGTCAGATCATTGTGGCTTGAATTTATCACTGGGAAGTTCGTCGTCGTCGTTGTTGTTTCTAAGGTTTTGCTTTTGAGTTTTGGGAGGGGGTTGGGAGGAAAAAGGGTGGGGGGAGAGGTAGTGGTGTGGTTTGGTGCTAATTGTGATGTTTTGATTTTTCTGTTATTATATTTATCTTTGATTCGCATCATCTTCGTTTCCGTGTAAGTGGGCTGATGTTTTAGATAAGCACCCGTTTACCTTTTTGTAGTTACTTTTTGTTTCGCTAAGGATCATGATTTAGTCAGTTCTAGCAGCAGCAGGGGATGAGAAATTAGGTAGTATTTTTATATTTTGGTTTTATCAAAGGAGATTTTTCTAAGTAGAGAAGAATAAAAGAATAAACGTGGAGAGTGGTGTGGGTGTGGGTATTAAAAAGAAAGTCAGTGATAGAGACAAGAAGAGTTCAGTGAGAGGTATAATAATGAATAATATATTATATTATATGTAATATGTGTGGGTGCTCAACCCGAAGATTGTGGTGCCGAAGATAATTAAAAGACGATATTAGTGATTTTAGAGGAAGAATATGAGAAGGAGGACAAAGAGGAGGAGTAGCGGCAGTAGTATGTGGAGGAGGAGCAGGAGGGGAGGAGGTGAGGGAGGAAGAAGAGGAAGAGGAGGATCAGGAAGAAGAAGAGGGAGAAGACACGAAGGGTGGTGGTGGTCGTGGTGGTGCCGTAGGAAGAGAAGGCGGAGAGAGGAAGAGGAGACTATGAAAAAAAATTAAAGTTGTGGGGAATGAGGGAGGGGGATGAGAAAGAAAACAGATTCATGAAAAATATACTAGTCTGGGTACTAGTCTGGAGGACCAGACTGTTCTACCATATTTCACCTAGCTGCGTCTCGAGATGGATACAAGAAAATGTCTACAGCCATCAATGAAATAACGTCCCCTCCTTGACAACTCCCACATATACCACCAGCCAAGTGATTGAATCAGGCGACAAGATTGGCTCAATGAGGATGTGCGCACTGGTCAATCGAAAACACTTCAGGGGGAGCCGTTTTGGGGCTACTTGAAAGATAACAACAGCCCCAACACCACCACCACCACCACCACCAACAACAACAACAGCAAAAATAACAACAAAAAACAACAACAACATCAACAAAATTCCTTTTTAAAAAATCTTCCCCCCAAAAAATCAACAAAACAATAGGTTTGATGTTCGTGTATTTTAATAATATGTGTGACAGCGTGGTGGAATCAGGCTCTCGTCAAAATAATAAAATTGAAGAAACTTGCATTTTTCCACAGGTTTGTGAATTTTAATTACATT